ACATACGGAATCTCCACAAGGCAGCCCCCACTCCAAAGGGAGACTTAAACCTGATAGGCGTGACTAAAGAGAGCTAAACCTTTCCCTGGCTTGGTTTATTACATCTTCCCAGACCATGGGTAATAAACTCAAATGCACACACAGAGACCAGGCGTGAAGCGAAGTCAGCAACCTAGGACAACTAAGCATGACAGACTGTTGTTAAAAAAAAAAAAGTATACTCCCCCCAAATGTGGTGACAATACGGCAGGTGGTTTTTACTATGTGGAAATACAGCCCCCAAAGCTAGCTAAAGTTCAGATCTTAACAATATAATAATCTGGATTACTTGGTGTCATCTCCTGAATTATAAATGTTAGTAATTAATCCCAATTCCTTTAAAAAATACTGTGCTGTCTAATCAAAGCATCTGGGAGTAGTCTTAGAAAGGTCACAAATTTGTGACCTTTGCTCCAAATTCTTTATCTCAAAACATAAAGAATTATTAATTTAGACATTCTAAGTACTCTGGAAACAGAAAAATATTCCTATTCTGGTCACCATAAACTGTTGCCAATTCATGGTAATCTTTGGTGAATATGGATCAATTCTCAACGACTAATAACATTCAACAGTAATATAGGAGGAGCATAATAAACCCCTCTAGTCACATTCTCCAATTATGTTTTGTAGACAGAGTTCACAAAAGAATAACTCAATGAATTTCTTAGAATATCTAGATTACACAGTCTAACAAAATAAAGCCAAAACTTCTACTATTCTTAAAAGCTCTATGCTCATGTTACTTAGCACCTTCTTCACAATATAACCAATCAGGGAGAAGCCCTTTAATGAATTAATTCTAACAAGGCTGTAACAATTCATCAGGTGGTAATTCAGGCTGGAATAAACACATTTACAATGAAATTGCGTCTTTAAAGGCAGAAAATTTACATACAATGTTGTAATTATAAAAATACCATACAATCCTAGAATATATAATCCAGCGCATCCAAAAACAGCAATTAAAAGTCGTCACAATAGTCATCCCAAACACTGCACTCTCTCCTTTATACAGAAAACAGCACGTTATGTGTCAGTCTGTCTCCCTCCCTCGTAAGAGCCAGGTGCCTCCAGCCAAGTCCATTCGTTCTACTACAGGAACTACATATAGAACCAACTGCTAGCTTCCAAACTGATTTAACACATACATTTTCCTTAATTAAAGCAAATCTTCCCTGTATTTAATTGGAGTCAGATTTTACAGCATCTTATTAAAAAGTCCCAGAATAATTAAAACAACCAGTTCAGAAGCATAAAGAATATTTTAACCAGTTAATCTGACAAAATAATCGAGGTTAGGATAGTCCAAAGGACCATCAAAAGCCAATTCATAACTTGCCCTGGAGGATGACCAATTGAGTTGATTCCAACTCAGAACAGAGATATTCAATGAATAGTATCTCATGGACTAAATACTTATAAAGTGTAAAGATAATACTCTTATTTTGGACAAAACTATTGATTTCAAAAAATGTCGTAACCTATGCCCACTTAAAAAAAAATGCAGCGAAACAAGGCACATGTTAAACTTCTTAAACACATACAAAAACTGCGATCTATCTGCTGAAAAGGATGCATATTTGCACACCAGAGTTACCATTACATTGGGTCAAGGGTTAAAAGCAGTGATTTTGAAGGTATGGCCCGAAGACCATTATCATTCCTGTTAAAAATGTACCCAGACCTAATGAATCCAAAGCTCAGAAGAAATACACCACTTAAATCACACCCTTCCAAGGTAAGCACACTTAAATTTGAAAACCACTGGTTTAAGAGTTAGACTAGTAAGGACAGTCAGTAAGACACAAATACAAACTAAAACACTAATAATTCAGACAGATCAGTTAAAAAGCTATCAGTATACCCATCATATATAAGCATTCCCTTTCTTCTTTGCTAGTAAGCTTTTATCAAAAAATTAATGAAAAACGTAGTTTCAGCCAGCCAGGAAGGCAAACAGTATAGAACAAGTTGGAAAATCCTGAGATTCTGGAAGAAACAAAATGTTTTCCCACAATTGCAAAAGTAGAGAATAGATCATCAAATGCTTATCTCTTTGAGTGTTTCCACAATACTCTGATTGATTAATGAACAGTTTTTCATCAGGCCATGATTCTGTCCTTAAGCTTGATTTTGCCCATTTGTTGTCCATTCCATGTTGTTCTTTTAATCATCTGCTTAGGTCTTCTACAGTAAGTAAGCAAGAGAATGCTGAGATGGCACTTAAGTACCATACCTGTGAGGCCAAGATTGCTACTGGCATACCCAGTGCTCTACACCCATGTAACTGCAATACTAGCCTTGGCAGCCATCTTGAAAAGGATGCCCGGCTCACAAGGAAGCCCATGGAATACTGTGCGTCTACTGCACGTTACCACCACCACTGCCACAAATAACCCGAAGGGTAAGTCCTAAAGACGTGTCTGCAGCTTTACCTTCAAACAGGAAGAACAATGTCAAGTTACTAGTGACTATGGCCACTCTAATAAGCTACAGCCAGGGATCTAGCAGAAATTGACTTCATCAGCATGATTTTAGGACAAGGAAAAATGAAAAATAAGAACTGAAGGAAAAAAACCATTTTCTTGCAGATATATTATCTATGAACAAATAAAAACAGTTCTCTCTGGTCAAAGCTGTGCTAATACACAATTTATCTCAGGTATTAAAATAAAACGTGAAACAAAGGCAATACAACCTCCTCTCGGTAAAGATGACAAAACCTCATATACTTGACACGTCAAATCTTCTTACCCCCAAAATGTTAACAAGGCGTAAATATCCGATGTCAGTGGATCACATTCTCAAATACCGAGTTCAATAAAGTAGAAAAGGATGACAAGAATAAAAATCTACTGGACCGTACTTTCCCGTTTACCCGGTTAAGGAATGGCTCATTCACTCCGCTTGCCTTTTAAATTGCTTTGTACTGTGACGAAGCCCTTGAAGTTAGCTTCAAATTAATATTTAGCTGCAAAACAAAGGCATTCTCTAGACCCCAAGCCCTCCAGTCGTCAAGGAAAACAAACAAAAAATCACATTAATACACCAGAGGTAGTAAACGCCTTTCAGAAGAGGACTGTGGATTGGCACAGCAAGCAGCAAGCAAGAAGGTGGGATGGAGGCTTCAGAGCCCGGCAGCTCACCTGTTGATGAAACCATATCCGTTCCTTACATTGAACCATTTTACTGTTCCCAAAACCTTCGTTGCTGGAAAAGAAAACAAAGCAAAACAAGCCAGGATTACCAGATATCCTTTTCCAAACCCGTCTAGCTTCGGCATCCGGTCCCTCGCACGCTGCCCGCCGCGGCCACCTGACAGCCCTTTCTCTCCACCGCCCGGGTGCGGGTCCGCGCCGGGGCCACGCCGCGGCCGCCGCACACGTGGGTGAGTCTGAAGCGCGGGGCGCTCCAGGGCAGGCCCGGGGCGCGGGCCCAGGATGGGTGTGTTCGCAGGCCGCGGACGGAGAGCACGTGAGGGAAGGGGAAGCCGCTCCGGCCTGCGTAGGCGGTGCGCCGCGCCCTCCGAGCACACGCGGAAGGGAGATGGGTGGGGGAGACGCGAACAACGGCGTGCGGGCCCGAGCGCACGAGGCCGGTCGGCGGGGAGGGGACCCCATCGCACACGCGGTCGGCGGCGCGCGGCCGCAGGAGGAGGGGCGCGCGGCCGCGCGGGGTCCACAGGGGGCGCGGGAGGCAGTGCGCGCGCGCCTGCCGGGCGGGCCCCCGCAAGAGCGAGTGGGGGGGCGGGGGGAGGGGCGGCCGCGCGCCGCGGAGTCGGTCCCCACCGGCCGCGCGCCCGCCGGCTCGCCCAGCCCCGGCTAACGGTTCCGCTGCCAGGCTGCCCGAGGGCCCCACCCCCGTCCCTGTCCGGTCCTCACCGATGACCTTCTTGTCCCCGCCGGCAGGCGCCGCCGATGTGAGGCCGCCCGGGCCACCGCTCCCTGCGCCGCTGCCCGTAGTGCCGGGCTTGGTGTCGGCGGCGCTGAGGGCGGGGGCGGCGGGGGGGGCGGCGGGCGGCTGCTGGGTCTCGGCCTCGCTGCTCATGGTTGCGGTGATGGTGACTGGGGCCGGCTGCGGCAGCTGCGGCTCCTCCCGGGGTGTGATGGTAACTAGGCCGGCGGCGGCGGTGGGGCTGCTCAGGGCTCTCTGGGGTCCGCTCTCCGCTCCCGCTACCGATCGAACTAGCGAGAATGGCGGGACAGGCGGGATAAGCCCTACGATCGACCCGCCCTAGGCGTTGTTCACTGGCCGGTGGTACTGTCAATCTGCCCACCTGACCTCAGTCCCTGGCTTCTATTGACTAACATTTTATCAGTCCTCCACTCTCATTGGCCGTCTGGCGGCTAATTCAGCCGACCTACAACCGTTCCTGCCTCCGCCGGCCGCCATAGAGACCGGAACTAGAATTAGAGTAGTCGGCCACGAAAACCATAGAGTACCTGAGAGGACGGGCAGAGGGAACGTGACTTCCACGAGGCAGTCGCCTGGCTGGCGGGCCCCACGTTCAGGGTTGTGTCTCGGCTGAAAAAAAGGCACGCCCGAATGCTGGGCAGGGATTACCCGGCCGGACCCGGGATTGGAAGGGGGCTCGACGACGCCTCAGTTCCCCGTGAAGAAAAGGCTTCCCTCTCTCCCTGCACCAAATACGGTCCCTGTGATCTGAGAACATTACGGCAGGCATAGAGTCGTCTTTTCTTTAATGGCCGTGTACTCGCGGCACAGCCGAGGGTTTCTGGAATTGCCTTAAACGTGTGCGTTTGAAGAGCGTACGCTTTTGTCGGAGCAGTCACCTTGGAGGGACCACGCAGGCTCTGGCAGCCCGGGCTCAGCATGTTTAGGGCGAGGGTGTGCTCCGTGGGGACCTGCCTTCTGATCCGTTTTACCAGGCATATATTTTAAAAAATGTGTCTTCCTTTTCAAGTGTTAACGTGTTTTTCTACTGGCCACAAATCAGATTTAATTCAACTCACATTTATTGAACAAGCTAGCGTGTTATGTTTTTTTTTTTTCATTTAATTCGTACAACAGCCATGTGATAGAGGAATTACTATCCACGTTTCACAAACGATAAAATTGAGGCTGCCACCTGATGTTACTGAAGTCCTCCACCCACCTTCTTTCGTTCTTTTTTAAGCGTCTACTATCGGCTGGGGATGGAATAGTTCGCGAGTCAGTTTCTGCCTTCTGATGGAGGCAGAAATTTAAACAGCCAACACGGTAAATACTCCAGAGCTGCAGAAGCACGAAGTATTTTGGGAGTGGAAGCCAGGAGGTGGAGGGCTGACTTTCCGCGCACAGGGTACAGGCGAGAAGAGGTGGGATCTCGGGAAATGCAGTCAAGTAGTTCAGTAAGACTCGAATGTGACATTGGGTTGCAGAGGTGGGCAGAGTCACTTAGGTATATTTAATTGGAAATATATCCTGAGGGGAAGAGAAGAGCAATTTTAGAGTCGTAAGTAGGGAGGGGCATCTTTTTAAAAATGGCTGCGGAGTGGAGAATGGGTTGCAGAGGGGCAAGGAATGGAAGTAGAGAAAGCAGTTAGGAGGTTAGTGCAGTATCCCTTACACCTACCAATGCCGTCTAGGCCTGTCAGTTCCACCTCCTAAAGGCCTTCTTGAGTCAGTCCTAAACTCTCTAAATGTCAATTCAGAGTCTTCATTCCTACTGCCACTACTGTAGGCCATCATCGCCAATTGCTTAGAGCAAGGGGTAGGAACTTTTTCTGTGAGAACCAAATAATAATACAAGCTTGGTCGACAATATGGTTCTGACTTACTACTCAGGTTTGGAGCTTGAAAACAGCCCTAATTTTTACATGACACGAATCTTTACATATTTTCAACTATTTAAACATTTTAAAAACCATTCGTATTCTTAGCTCATGAGCCACAGAAAAACGGAGTGTAGTTGGCTGATCCCTAGTATAGAGCAGTGCTGTTGGCTACTAACCACACCTCTCTACCTCTGTCTTACTCTCATATTCCTCACCACAACAGCCAGAAAGTTCTTTTGAGAACATCTATCTGATCATGACACTGTCTTACTTAAAATCTTCCAGTGACTACCATTACCCTTAGGGTAGTCCAGATTCCTTAATGTGGTTTACTGGACTCTATGATTTCTAAGAAGTCTTAGAGTCTTCTCTTGTATTCCCTGTCCAACCTTCCAGGTGCTTGTAACTACTGGCTGCAGGATACTGCAGGAGCAGAGGTAGCAAACAGCTGAATTCTGTGACAATAGAACTTGGTTAAAAGTGTTGCTTCAGTGTATCAGATGACAAGGGAGATGGTGAAATATTACAAGGCCCTACAGAATAGACACTTGCCACTCTCTAGCCAAGTAAACACGCTTCAGAGGGCACTGTAGAGAAAGGACTCATCTAGTGGAGTCCTTTAGCCACTGTTTCCTTTGGAGTATCACATAAAATTCTGCATATAACACCCTTCCTTTCCTCATTCCTCTTTGCCTGCTTAATTCATCCTCTAGGTCTTCGCTCAGATGCTACTAGGTTAAGAATCCCTCCCATCCTAACACACTGTATTGCTCTAATTAAATGTTCCCCACCAGACTGTGACTTCCTTGGGCATCTTAGTTCCTGACACATAATACCTTAAAAGATTTGTTAAATGAGTGACATGGTGTAGAAAATGAATTGAAAAAGGTACTGGCAACAGAAAGGTAATCTGGGCAGCTGTGCCAGTAATCCAGGTGAAAAAGACTTTCAGCAGCAATGTGTATGGAGAGTGGGTGGATTCCACAGCCTCTGTTCATGTGTTCCAGCTCCAGATGACTTTTGAATGTTAAAATATTTCCTCAAAAGGCAGTTTTGCCAACACTGAGGACATTTAAAAGCATGCCCTATAGGCTTGAGAGCTTTTCTCCAGTTACAAAGACACTTAGAAAATATTGCAGCAGCACCTCTACGAATAAATGAACAATCTCACTATGGAACTGCTTTGAAGGGATGGCTTCTCAAGCAAAAATACAAATTGTGTAACATCTGTCTTTTCAATGTTACTTTAAAAAGTATCATTACTTACTCATCCAGTTACTTCATTCAGCTCTCTTGGGGCTCAGTGAGCCTGAGGATGAGCTGTTTAAGAAAGTAGTTTGCAGCCAGGCATGGTGGCTCATGCCTCAGCACTTTGGGAGGCTGAGGCAGGTGGATCACTTGAAGTCGGGAGTTTGAGACCAGCCCGGCCAACATGGCAAAACTCCATCTCTGCTAAAAATACAAAAATGATCTGGGCATGGTGGCATGTGACTGTAATCCCAGCTACTCAGGAGTTTGAGGAGGGAGAATCGCTTGAACCCGGGAGGTGGAGGTTGCAGTGAGCTGGGATTGTGCCACTGCACTCCAGCCTGGGTGACGGAGTGAAACTATGTCTCAAAAAATAATCTTCTTGTAGCCACCTCTCTACAAGCATCAACAATTCATGACAAATTTCATTTCCTGTTCCAAAGTAGGAGAGTGCCACTCCAGAGCTTTGCTGGTCTCCCTGCTATCCTGGGAGCTCACACCACCCAGGTATCGGTGGTGACCATGGTACGGACAACTCCAGGGCCTGCCTTTAAGTGATGTGATGGGCAAGGGATTCATCCCAAGAATCTCTGCAAAATAACTTTTACCTTGTCCTCCATCTCTAACAGACTGTGGCCTAAGAACATAGTTCCCTCTTCCTAGAAAGCACTTGCCACCTTGTTGATCTGGCAAATTAAAGCCTGTCACTACTTACCTCAAACGTCACTTCTTCTAAGAAGCCTTTTTCCCCCTTTTTTCCCCTCTTCCTCTCATACCACTATCATTCATGCAACAAATATTTATTCAGCATCTATTAGATTCCAGAAGTTCACTTCCAGGTATTGGGGACACAGCAGTTAAAAACAAAACAGGCCGGGCGCGGTGGCTCAAGCCTGTAATCCCAGCACTTTGGGAGGCCGAGGCAGGCGGATCACGAGGTCAGGAGATTGAGACCATCCTAGCTAACACGGTGAAACCCTGTCTCTACTAAAAATACAAAAAACTAGCCGGGCAAGGTGGCAGGCGCCTGTAGTCCCAGCCACTCGGGAGGCTGAGGCAGGAGAATGGCGTGAACCCGGTAGGCGGAGCTAGCAGTGAGCTGAGATCGCGCCACTGTACTCTAGCCTGGGCAACAGAGCGAGACTCCGTCTCAAAAACACAAAGCAAAACAAGAAAAAGATCGGCTGGGCACGGTGGCTCACGCCTGTAATCCCAACACTTTGGGAAGCCGAGGCGGGTGGATCAGGAGGTCAGGATATCGAGACCATCCTGGCTAACACGGTGAAACCCTGTCTCTACTAAAAATACAAAAAATTAGCCGGGTGTGGTGGCATGTGCCTGTAGTCCCAGCTACTTGGGAGGCTGAGGCAGGAGAATTGCTTGAACCCAGGAAGCAGAGGTTGCAGTGAGCCAAGATCACGCCACTGCACTCCAGCCTGAGCGACAGAGTGAGATTCTGTCTCAAAAAAAAAAAAAAAAGACCAAATGTCATGCCCTGCCCTCATACGGGCTCACATTCTAATACCACCTTGCTTTGAAACTGTCCCTGTCGGCCGGGCGCGGTGGCTCATGCCTGTAATCCCAGCACTTTGGGAGGCCAAGACGGGCGGATCACGAGGTCAGGAGATCGAGACCATCCCGGCTAACACAGTGAAACCCCGTCTCTACTAAAAATATAAAAAAATTAGCTGGGTGTGGTGGCGGGCGCCTGTAGTCCCAGTTACTCGGGAGGCTGAGGCAGGAGAATGGCGTGAACCTGGGAGGCGGAGCTTGCAGTGAGCTGAGATCAAGCCACTGCACTCCAGCCTGGGTGACAGAGCAAGACTCCGTTTCAAAAAAAAAAAAAAAAAGAAAAAGAAACTGTCCCTGTCTCCTATCACAAGTATAAGCCACAACTTACTCAGCTCCAGGGCCTAGGACAGAGACTGGCATAGAATGTAGGTGCCAGATGTAACAGAGTGCAGCTGAACAGCCCATCACAAGAATGTGAGCTCTGGATCACAGCTGTTCATCCTCCTTCCCATCTCTTTACAATCCCACCCTATATAGTTACTTAAAAATTTCTCCTCCACTAGATGAGTCCTTTCTCTACAATGTCCTCTGAAGTATGTTTCCTTGGCTAGAGAGTTGCAAGTGTCTATACTGTAGGGCCCTTATCACCATCTCCCTTGTCATCTGACACACTGAAACAACCCTTTTAACCAAGTTCTATTGTCACAGAATTCAGCTGTTTGCTACCTTTGCTCCTGCAGTATCTTGCTGCCAGTAGTTAAGAGGCATCCCCATCCACAAGACAGAAGCAAGCAAGAAAGAATGAGAGCAAACAGAAAGTGCCTCATGAAAGAAACATCAGGGAACTTTCTTCTTTGCCTCTTCAAAATAGATGGAGTCTCACACTGTCACCCAGGCTGGAGTGCAGTGGCACGATCATAGCTCACTGCAACATCAAACTCCTAGCCTCAAGGATCCTCCTGCCTCAGCCTCCTGAGCAGTTAGGACTACAGGTATGTGCCACCACACTCAGCTAATTTTTGTTTGTTTTGTAGAGACGGTGTCTTGGTATGTTGCCCAGGCAGGTCTTGAACTTCTGCGCACTGAAGTGATCCTCCCACCTCAGGCTTCTGAGTAGCTGGGATTATAGACAGGAGCTACAGCACCTGGCTCAATGGGATCTTTATATGTTGAGCTGTTTCCTTTCAAAACTAACATTTTCTTTTTTTGAGACAGTCTCACTCTGTCACCTAGGCTGAAGTGCAGTGATGTGATCTCGGCTCACTGCAACCTCCGCCTCCTCGGTTCAAGCGATTCTTGTGCCTCAGCCACCAGAGTAGCTGGGATTACAGGTATGTGCCCCAAGCCCAGATAATTTTTTTATTTTTAGTAGGGATGGGGTTTTACCATCTTGGCCAGGCTGGTCTTGAACTCCTGGCCTCAAGTGATCCGCCCACCTTGGCCTCCCAAAGTGCTGGGATTACAGGTGTGAGCCATGGCACCTGGTCCCAAAACTAACATTTTCTAAGGTATTGTTGCTGTTTACTACAAATTACCTTCATATCCACTCTCTTATTTGACTCTTTCAAGGATGCTCTGAGGTAAGTAGATAGGTCAAATTAGTGACCCTTTCCCCACGGACTCCATCCAGAACTAACCAAATTGATCCTGCTGGGAACATCTTTGGAATAAGTAGAGCTGTAAAGTCCTAGGGCTGTGCCTTCTTTGTCCATCAGCTTTAACCTACGAGAGTTAGGTTTGCTACGACTGCCTGCAAGTCAGAGGCATCAACTATACACAGCAAAAGCTTGGCACTGGTCCATGCTGGCCTCTGAGGAGTGCCAGTCCTCCTAGCTGAAGCTGAGTTGTGAGGACTATTTAAAAACAACACACAAACAAAACCAAAAG